GCCAGCTCCCAGCCCGCATCCCAGTCGCTCGGTCCAAGCCCAAGGCTGTGCGTCCCGTGGCGTTTTCCCAGTAAAATGAGCAGGGAGAGAGGGGGTACCCCACACCCCAAGAACCCAGGGGTGTGTCTCCCTCCCGCTCCAGCCTCCCCCCCCCCCCCCACCCACCGGATGCGCTCGGCCCTCAGAGCTTCTTCAGGCGACTGTACAGCTCCCGCTTGCTCTTCTCGCCCGCCCAGGTCCGGCTCTTGGTGCGGAACCTTTTCAGGTCTTCCTTGAAGTCCTCGTGATGCATGGGGCGATAGCTCTGGGGCTCGCAGAAGCTCTGGGGAAAGAGAAAGCGGCTTCACTTCGCTGGCAGAGCCGCGAGGATCGAGACCACGTGAACAACCACCATCAGCATAAACACAACCGGAGTCCCCCCGAGCAGGAGTTTGGCACCGGACATCCACCAACGAAGCCAAGAGACAGATCACAGCTACTTCAGGAGCCACTAGGCCACTGGTCCCTCTTAAACCAGGGACTGCCAGCCTGGTACCCAGAGCTCCCACCCCTCGTTTTCTGTCCTCACCGTGAAGCTGGGGGGGCTTTTCCCAAGGGCCGGGAGTGACAGGACAAGGGGTGACGGGTTTAAACGGAAAGAGGGAGATGGGACATCAGGAAGGAATTCTTCCCGCAGAGGGTGGGAGCACTGGGACAGGTTGCCCAGAGAAGCTGTGGATGCCACATCCCTGGGAGTGTCCAAGGCCAGGCTAGAAGAGGCTTGGAGCAACCTGGGCTATGGAAGGTGTCCCTGCCCATGGCAGGGGGGTTGGAACTGGATGATCTTTAAGGTCCCTTTCAGCCCAACCATCCTGCAATTCTATAAGCAGAGATTCCAACAACTCCTGTCTCCTGTCTGGCGCCCAGGCCAGCCCCCGAGCGTCACAGGCTGCCGTCGCCTGTTCCATGCTGCCACCTTGAGGCCCTCAGTCCTTCCACCTCGGGAGAGGACACCCACAGCGCCCAACCCAAAACCGACGGACACCCACCGCACCAGACCCAAAACCGGGTCACCCCCTGCCACAGGGAGCCAGCAGATCACTGGGAGAGCCAAAAACCAGGCCTGCGCTCCCTGCCACGAGCACCAGCATCCCCCAGGGCAGCCCAGACGCTGGAGGACCAACATCCCACTGGGAAACCACATCCAGGTGGTCAGAGAATGACCAAATCTCTCACATCGCTCCAAAAACACGCCAAGGACAGTCACCTCAGAGTGCACTGAAGCATGAGGGCACCTCAGAGTGCCCTGAAGCGTGAGGGCCTGAGAGGGACTAAAGTGATGCTCGGGCCACGGAATAGCGGGAAGAAGTAGCTTGGGAAAGAGAACAGCCAACTGGAACGCTACGGGAGCGGAAGCCAAGCGATAGGAGAAACACCGTCCCCGTGAGGCTGCTCAGGGAGCCCCTGGGCATTCGAGTTTCCTTTTTGGAATCAGGGGCTGAAAACTCCCAGCTCGGAGTTCTCCCACGTTGCTCTTTCAGCGCACTACGACCCCTCAGGGTTCCGTCTGCTCTACAGCAATTCCTGCCAAGCCTCTCCTCTCCCAGCCCGCAGCTCCTTCTCCAAAGGATGTCCTCAACTCCTACTTATTACAGAAAGGCAGGTTTGATATTTTATTCTCGAGAAAAGCAGGAAAAGGCTTTTCAGCGACGGCAGCAAGACGGCTCCGAGGTGCGGAACAGGCTTGGAGATGCCAAGGCAACCTCGCTGCCAGGTTTTAACGGCTCTCGGAGCAGGAGAGCACCGTGAAAACGGAGCCAGAGAGCCAGCCCAGCAGAAACATGCTCTACCCCACCACCCCCCTCCGCCGAGCCCAGGGGTGTTGGTTATCCCTCACTGCTTCCGAGTGCGGAACCTGGGGGACGGTTACTTACGCGGCACCTGGAGTAGAAGTCCTTGTAACCCCCCTTCAGGACGTAGAGCTCTGGGTAGTGGAGGTTGGGGTATTCGTTCCCCAGCCGGTCCCGCTCTCTGACAAACCGGCACCTGCAGCAGAAGATCCCCCGCTCACCAAACGGCACGGTGAAACAGCACTCACCGGGGACATCCCGCTCCTGGGACGTCCCGCTCCTTCGGGAACGGTGGGCAAGCCACGCTGGCCACAAAGGGTTTTCCCATTCCACCTCTAAGGATCCCGGCGCTCCCACCTGACTTCCACGTGACCGTTTGCACCGTGGAGCGTGTCGCATCCTCCCCAGAGGCGACAGCCCCCGTTGCCACGCGATAACCCACGTTACACATGACCGGAGCCGCCCCGGAAGCCTCGCCCGGGCGGTGAGTTCCTGCCTAGGGCTGTGTGGGATGAACTCACATCCGAGGGCCCCGCTCCGAGGAAAACTCGCAGTGGAAGACCACGATCACTCGTTTGTTGGCCGATGGCTTGATTGGCTTCTTAAGCAAGTACTCCTCCACCTCCTCCTCCATGTGTAGGTTGACAGCCCCCTGCAAAGGCAGAGTCGCACCCACAGTGAGCGGAGAACCGTGACCAACCTCCCCCGCTTCCTCGCCAGCCCTCTCCAGCTGTTGGGAACGAGCTTCCCAACCCAAGCAGGACCTTACGGGATCTAACGCTGAGCCTGGGCCTCGGAATGGCGACCAGAAGCTGCTCCACACCAGCCACAGGTTGGGGCTCGCTGGATTTCCCTTCCCGCTCCCCACAGTTGGTACCAAACCTCCTCGAGCAAACTTCAACACAATTATCTGTAGCACAGCCACTTGTCCTTTGAGGTCTGTGGTGTCAGCTAAGTTTGACATTCCACTTGTAGCTTCCCTAGATGCCAGGACGCTGGCCAGTGTGCGCCTCACATCCTCCTCCGGAGCTGCCCCCCTGCTTGCCACACAAAGCTCGGCTAAAGGCAGGTGGAACGTTCCCTCCTTTGAGGGAAAAGTCACTTTCTGACCCAAGCGTGAGCCCAGTGTCCCGAAATTCCCACGGGCAGAGGGTCACAGACCTCCACGGGGCTTTGGACATCCCTCAGCAAAGCGCAGCCCCAGGCCCTGCCCGGAGACCCCAGCGCGCGGCCCCAGACAACCCCCCATTGCTCGCGGGGGTCAACGTACCTTGATGTGCCCCCCCTCGTACTCGTACGGGTATCTGCAGTCAATTATCACGCACTCCTTGATGCAGCTTGCAAACTTCCCCGTGAGAACGGACACCACCTGCAGAACAACGGAATCCAGTTGCGCCGGGACGTTCGCGTTGGCTTCCCGCCCCTCCCAGTAAAGATGGTTTTACCACCCCGGGCACACGCACCATTTCCGAGTCGATGTATTTTAGATCCTGGTGTTTCCCATCGACGGTGTGGAGTAAGTAGGCCTAGAAAACAGATGGGATTTAAGTGAGGAGATGCCAAGCGGGCGCCACGCGGACGACAGCGCAGTGCCCAGCAGTTAGCTCTGTAACAGGGGCGCCTTGTTGCCAAGGATCTCCTAATTCCTGAGCTTTGAAAACAAAGGATCCTGGAATTTTTGTCCCTAAATTCTATTTTTTGCTCCCATACTGAAGGGGTTTTGCAGAGCTTTAATCAGCACAAACGAATCGCCTCGTGTCTAGGGTCACCGAGGGCCTGTCCCAGTAACTGGGACGACGTGCTGTTGGGGAGTTCGACAAGCTCGAGGCGTATATCCCCCCGAGAAGGGGCTGTTCAAACCGGTCCCCGACCTTGGAGAAGTCCCCGATGAGGTCTCCCGCGTCGCTGTCCAAGATGGTCTCGATCTCCGCCGCAGAGGGTTGTGCCTTGACCATTTTCAGACCCTAGAGCAACACAGGTTAGAGATCAGCACCGGGCGCCCACAGCCGAGTCCCCTCTTCCCAGAGGATCGCAGACAGCCCGGACTTCGCTCCGAAGCCTTGAGCTGCGACTCCCCAGCTGGATTAAGGCAAGACTGGGGCTCAAACCTCTGCACCAGCTCCCCTAAGGCCCTGCACCACGCACGGAGAAGGCGGCTGTGCGGCTCAGCAATCCACCCGGGAGAGCTCGCTCCCGTTAACGAGCCCCCCCCTCATCGATTCTGTTACCACATCCACCAACCGTTGAATCCTCAGAAGGTGTTCCAGGCAGGCTCCTTCTCTTCTTGCTTTTCCCTGGAGAATTCTCTTCCTGGGACCTTTCCATCCTTTTCTGGGTGGTTCTCCCCACCCCGCTAGACAGAGATGAAGAGCCGAAGAGCCGGCACCGTTTGCCCTGTGAGGAGGGGGAGAGGTCAGGAGTCGTCCAGCAAAGCCTCAGATTAGAAACTCAACAGGCCTCAGACTGTCACAAATCAACACCCAGGACTAACATTTCCAGGAACACTGGATTCACGCTGTGCGGAGCAGGCGAGCGCCGGAAGCAACACGATGTGCTTGCAGTGGGCTTTATACCAATTAGCAGGCAACCTATCAGCAGATTAAGGAGCATCTTGCTGGAGTCTGAACTCCCTTTGCAGTCTAGCATCAGATCAGGCTACAGGCATGCCAGGACAGCCTGTGCAGGATGGATTCAGGATATATCGACAAGTATCTGATGAGGGAAGTCAAGATCTTCCTGCATTTACCAAGTGTTTTTGGAAAACGGAAGTTAAAGCCAATTAACAATGCTCTTATGTGCCTTTACGTCTCCCAGGTAAACCAGCTTGAGGGAGAACAGAACCCTGAAGGGGGTTATGGTGCCTTGTTTTGTCGTTATCGGGGATACAGGCTTGGGGGTGGTGCGGGCGCTCAGCCAGGCAGTGAAAATGCCCCCATCCCTGTCCTGTTGTGCTTTCCCCCAGCACTCACCCGCATGTCCGTTTTCCTCATGACCAGCGGCGCAGTCCAGAGGCTCGCCACGTCGGATGGCATCTCCTCATCGTTCTGTGGGAAAGAGAAGCTTCGCTCTCACCTGTTTCACTGGGGACAGAGACCATATCCTTCCACAGCATCGGAAGGATATAGACTGGTTGGAGCGAGTCCAGGAGGCCCCGGGGATGCTCTGAGGGCTGAAGCCCCTCTGCCATGGGGACAGGCTGGGGGAGTTGGGGGGGTCAGCCTGGAGGAGAGACCTCTCTTCTCTCTGCTCCGGGGAGACCTCATTGCAGCCTTCCAGTACCTGAAGGGACTACAAGGAAGCTGGGGGGGACCTTTTACAAGGGCCTGTAGTGACAGGACAAGGGGTAATGGGGTTAAATTGAAAGTGGGGAGGTTTAGATTAGATATCAGGAAGAAATTCTTCCCAGAGAAGGTGGGGAAGCACTGGAAGAGGTTACCCAGAGAAGCTGTGGATGCCCCATCCCTGGGAGTGTCCAAGGCCAGGCTGGATGAGGCTTGGAGCAACCTGGTCTAGTGCAAGGTGTCCCTGCCCAAGGCAGGGGGGTTGGAACTGGATGATCTTTAAAAGGTTCCTTCCACCCCAAACCATTCCATGATTCTATAAAGCTCGACAGCTTCAGCCTGGCAGCCATTCTGGCTGAACTCAGCTGTCGGAGCAGTTTGAGGAAGTTACCTCCATCCCTAGTCCCATACTGAGTCAAATAATGGAACAGAGTTGACACACATGGGAGGAGGGAAGTTCTCTCAGTTCACTGATTAACAGTGACGATCCTCCAATGCTTTAAGCATTTCAAACCCAGTTAGAAAGTGTCTTGTACTGAAGTGGCTCCAATGCAAGTATCACCTCTAACTCCCCTGGAAGTTCGGCCTAAGGACAAAGGCCAACTCCCCAGACAAATCTCCCTCGTAACGCAATTCTGAACCTCACTGCTGCCAGCTGCGCCAGGAAGCAGCATGGATTCCAGCGTCTCCAAGTCCACACGAGTCGGAGACGACGACCCCTCATCGTCCAGCATTCCCCAGCACCTGGCTGTCTGCCGTTCGACCTCGCACGCTGCCTCGTACCAGAACACACGTGCACCACGTGTCGCTGGCAGAGCTGGTTTCCAAGGGTCTATGGCACTTCCTTCACGCATACCTTCAAATCCTCATCGTCTAACAGCTCCAGGAACCCGTCGTCGTCATCATTGCTCTGGGAGGAAGTCAGAGGCTGCTGCAGGAAAGCCGGTCTGTGGTTCTCCTGTTCACCCAGGGGACACCGAGACGAGAGAGTTAGTCTTAGCCTCCTCCCTTCTCTTCACTGCAGGACGCTGTGATCGCAGAGGTGATGCCAGGCCTCTCGCTGCACTAAACACGGGGGTCACACAGCACCTTCAGCAAACCCCAAACTGGGTCTGGATGCTCCTACATCACCCCTACAACAGCCAAGTGCTTCGTTAGCCTGGTTAAGCAATGACCACCCTCTCGGGAAGAAGCTGCCCAGCAGAGGACAGAAATGGGTGGTGTCAACAGGAGGAATTAACACAACTCTTCCAGTTGGTAAGCACGAGATGAAGAGGGATCGTGATCCCTCATCCCAAGCAGGATGGAGGACTAACAGGCTCAGGGAGGGAAGACAAGACCTACACCCCCAGCCCTGTTCCTGCGCAGAACCCACCGTGTTTGTTCAGCTGCTTTTTTCAAGCAATTCATTATGAACAGGCAGTATTTTCTGCCTGGATGTCACATCTGGACTAAGATCCAGCTGTTGGCTTCGCTGTTGCAAACGCATCTGCCTCCATCTTGGTGTTCACCGACAGTGAAAACCATTGACAACGGGCTTCCCCTACTCCCCATCCATTTGCTCCTTTGATTTCCTGCGGCACAACCTGAGCTCCGCAGCGACTCATCTTCCCCAGAGAACAATCCACGTTCCCGATTCCCAACCCTCTCACAAGCCAAACCAGGAGAAGTTTCTCTTACGCAGCAGAGACGTTTCTCCGGTTTGGCACAGTGGTGAGCAACAGCATCGCCCGAGAATCCTGACACAACCTTTCTCCCGCCCAGAGGGCGGAATGCAGAGCACTGGGTGAGAATTAGCTGCGGAGAACGCTGTGCTATTTCCTACCAGAGCTGAAGAGGTACTCTGCCTTGGCCCAAGAACATCTTTTCCATCACGGATCTGCGCAGAACGAGAAGCTGGCTTGGTTGGCTTCTTGAACTCGAACGACTCCTAAATTAAGAAGAGACAAAGTGGTTATTTTACCACAATTACAAGCCATGTAAATTCTAGGATCACTTGATCTTTGCAGGGTGTTTTTTAAAACTGCCTGACCCTTTGGGTTTACGTTCCCTGTTTGCAAATTGAAGATGTTACAATAGTGATTCATTCAACCTACCCAAGCTTTTACCCTCTGACATCACCTACAGGCCTCTCTCGTGTCAACTCCTCTGCAAAAGAAACCATCCCTGGAGGCAGCCTCGGCTGCCTCCGACACCCGGTCTCGTGTGGAGACCCGTCAGAGTCCTGCCCGTGGCACTTCCAGCAGCGAGGCCGCCCACACCACGCAGGCCGAAGGGTATTTGCGCTGTGCAGATGCAGGGTGCCCCAGGCCAGCAGCGAAAGAGGCGGCGAGCTATCCAAAGAGCTTCCTGCGGGCAGCCCTCACAGCCACCCAACGCTGGCAGCGTGGCTACGTTTCCCCTGCCACAGAGGAGTCGGGGTCAGGAGCACGAAGGCAAAGCTGCACAATTAACAGCCTCTCATCAGTTACAGCGACCGCGAATCGCTGCTGTCGCGCTTCACGGCGCGCTCGCCGCTGCAAACCTTGGTTATGTCTGAACTAGGGCCTGGCAGCAAGGAAGAGCCGCTTTTTCCACCCCGTCCACCGCTAAGGGGGGTGCTAACTCTGCTCCCTTGGCACCGCCACCACAGGCAACACAGCGACACTTACATTTTCCTTGTTTTCATCCTGTTCCAGTAGCTGGAAAGCACTGCTGTCCGGAGAATCGCAATGGTTCCTCTTCAGAGCAGGACTGCATCCCAGGAAGCTTTGCTACAACATACAGAGGCATCAGGTCAGCACTGTGCAACATGGTCTCTGCACAACAAGGTTTTAGGGAAAAAAGGGGCCAACACGGACTGCGAGGCCTCCGACTAGGGACTTGTGCAGAGCTCCTATGCTGACGTCGGGTACAGGTACCCAAATGCTCCGCGTGCGTTATTGTCCAAGGTTAGTGTCTCACGCCACCTTGAATGAGATTTCGAGTTGACAAGTGCAATTCTAGCAGTTTTCGTGGAGTGCCACGGCAGCTGCTCTTGGAGACAAAGTTAACAAATTCTGGAACGTATCCAACTAAAAAGGCTCAACACCCCAAATCCTTTAGCGCCGACACAAGGCCAAAACCACGCTCACTTACTGGCAGCGAATGGATCCTTCTGAAAGGCATGCGCATGCTACAACGAAAAGAGAACAAAGATCTATTGCAACCTTTTGTTTTTAAGGCAGTAACGGAGGAAAAAACCCACTTTTCATCCCCCAGTAAGATTCCACAAGCTACACTGATGGAGGAGTTACAGAACTGTACTTACTTCAGTCTGCTCGATTCCCGAATTGCTTTCTCAAACCTAAAAGCAAGGGAGAGGCCGCAGTTAGTGCACCGAAAATCACCCACCTACTGAAGTCAGGGAGCATCAGACACACGTCCTGGTGGCACTCCGCCTCTCTCAACAGTGATTGAGAGCTCATCCCTGCCTTGAGACAGAAGCCAGACTCCTCCCTCTCCTCTCCCCAAACCGTTTTAGACAAGAAGCTAGGTTAAAAGCTCAGCGAATCCACGACCAAGGGCGTCTGTCCCCCATCCCTGGAGGTGGAATGTTAGAAAACCTGAAATAATCTAACAGAGGGGAGAAGCCAGAAGTCAGGCTTCGCGTATGGATACGTACGTTTCCTCCAGGACGTCATCCGAGGTTGCAGGACCAGGCGAATCCAAAGCGCAACCTGCAGGGAGGGACGCAAGGGGTCATTTCCTATGTGCCAACATACTACTCAGTATAAAATATTGCACACGCTGGATTTCCTTGGAAAGACCCCAAGCTCAGACAGGAAACTGATGTCTGAAGTCCAGTCTGCAGCCTTCTCTCAGTGGAGAGGCAAGCACCAGCTAGAGATGCTCCGTGCCACCGGGTTCTACCCTCAGTAACCAGGTGTTAGTGCTGGGGAAAAACAGGAGGAATCGACAAAACACTCCCAGCCCTGCCTAGGACAGCACATACCCCCTAACACGGAACACTCCCAGCGTATTCTCTCACACAGATGTCTTTATAAACAACTTGGTCCTTCAGGGTTTTTTTAAGCCATATTTTTAGTGGCTCATTCCAAAAATAATTAGTCAAAAGGCCCTTAGAATCATGGGATGGTTTGGATGGGAAGGGACCT